TTAGGGCAGCACGAAAAAGCGCCCCAAAGATAACAGTAACCACTGTAGCTATAAAAGACAGCTTTTGTTGACAACTATTAAAGTATAAAATTATAATAGTCGTGGGATTCAATATTGTCATTGTAAATGCATGATTACACTAGTGAAGTCTTGCTAAACTTCAGAAACAACTTCCAGAACCGAGAGATCTAATAGTCTGCAGTATACGTTGCATTTGTGATTCTTGATGAAGTTATCGATTCCCTGCACGCTCAGAGAAGTTCCGATTTGTCATCTGTGAGTTCGACAGATGCAAATTCGGGATCGAAAAGCTCATATGCGCAACCTTGAATGTCTAGCAGCATTAGTTGTTTATTGGAACGCTCAAAGGAAAAATGCTTATGTCCGGGATTTGCTTCACTGTAAAGCACGATGGGCCTTGCTCACCGGCCAGAACGTCGCAATCCATTGATGGGGGGATCTGAAAGTGCTTCACACACGCACCTTTGATGTTCTCGATCGTCAGTTCCTCATAACCTTTAAACGGGACAAATTCTCTTGCCCCTATACGTGAATATTTTTGTGCCTTTCCAGACACTTCGGCACTCAGCCTTTGGACAGTGAGAGTATCTTGTTCGTCTTTGCCTTTGTCTTTACTGATCTTTTTTTTGGTTCTCTTTTCCTGCATGTTTTTCTTAAACGTATTCCATCTTGTTTCCTCCGTCATGTTATCAATAAAGTTGCTAAAAATCCAGTGACAATACTACAATAGTAACTGCTCCGTCGCCGAAGTCACTGCGGAAGACAGTCACTTTCGGCGAAATGTATCCTGGTCTATGGCAGCTCTAGGCCGGCGACACCGATTTAAATCACTTTCATTTTTGTTTTTTTTTAATAAAATGGAAATAAAATCGAATAAGAATGAAATTAAAACTGAAATACGAATAAAATCAAAATGAAAACAAAAATAACTTTAACATGAAAATTAAAAGTAAAATCAAATCAATTAAAAATAAAATGAATTCAAAATTAACATAATATAAACATGAAGCAAAAGTGAAATGAAGAGAAAACGAATGAAAAGAAAAACAAAAGAAAAATAACAAGAAAATTGAGACAAACTATAAAAAAACTAAAGAATAAAGTGAAAAAAAAATTAAAAAAATTATTTGCAAAGCCATTTTTCTCTATGGCAGCTCTAGGCCACCATAGAGCAGTCTCTAGTGTTGTTTGGAATTCGAACAGCTAAAGCGGATTCGTATTCTAGATAAGCTTAACTTAGATTCAATTTTGATCATCAAACATAAATATTTTCCGGCTAATTATCGCTCTTTAATATATTGTATTGCTCTTTAATATTTAGATGATGTGGGCACTTTAGAAAAGGCAAGCGAGAATGACTTGCGTAAGGCAGGCCTTAAGATGGGTGACATAATTTCTATTCGAAGCGTTCTTCAGAAATCAGAACAGCTTAATAACGCTTCTAATGCTGATGACAGTGGAATAGAGATCAATGAAATGAATTCCTCACTGGGCACAGAGAGTTTGGATTCTGTTGATTCCACACTTAAAGTAAGTTATTTCCCGCCTAAAGTTCTGAGTTAATGATTAACTCACACTATGATAGGATGTGAACTTGTTCTTCGCGAATCTGTTATCGCATATCCTTAATTAAGCTTAAACATGTTAAATCGGCTCTACATTTTCCTTCAGGCTCCCATTTCTTCTAAGCTTTTAACCAGCACCCCATTACAACAATGAACCAGCAAATTGCAAACTAATGGCAGTGAATTCCAAACTAATGGCAGTCCATTGCAACCAAGCAGTGAATTAGGAACTAATGGCAACCCATTGCGACCAAGCAGTGACTTACATGTAGAAACTAATGGCAACCCAATGAAACCAAGCAGTGAATTAGAAACTAATGGCAACCCATTGCAACCAAGCATTATTTAGTCCTGAGGTTAAAAAAGGGGAAGGGGAAGGCCTCTAAAGCACAACTGTATTTAAGGGTATCTATACATTATTATTTTTATTCATGTCAATACTGTATTATCAGTAATAATATGACATGCATTCTTTCATATTGCTATTTGTTATTTTTTCTTTTATCAATAGGCAGTATTTAGAGTGTATATATTTTCTGCTGATTGTGTTTGCAAAAATAGGTTTTTCCTTCATAAATATTAGCCCTTCATGTATATAGTAAGCTTACTTTTAAAAGCTAGTTCTCCTAACCCACAAAATAGAAACACTTATAAATGAATTTTCATTTTTTCTTGAACAAACCAACCCTTACTTTATGATCCAATTATGGCAACAAAGCAGCAGCTGAAGTGTTGTTCTTTTTTATGGCCAAGAAAAACCTGTTCCTAGTTATTATTCTGAATGGTGTGCCTCCTTTTGCCCATTTTAAGTATGAAAAATCAAAAATGGTTGGCCTATTTTTGGGGGAAAAGTAATGATGTTTTATGAAGCCTATGTGGAAGGGGTTAACTTTGTTCTTTTGTTCAGAATCTTGTAAGAGATTGTGCTTGGCAGGCAGGGATTTGGGAGAGAACCTACACTATCCCAAACATACCTGACAAAACGTTTCAACAATTTTTTGCACTTGCAAGTACAAATAAAAATATTTAATTTTAGATTGTTGGGATATTTCAATTTTGTTTTTCAACCTTGTGTTTATTTATTTCTACAGATCAACAAAACCACTCCACAACTGGCCAACAACCAGAAAGAGCTTAGACAACATCTGGGGCTGGCCCTTCAAAATCGAAGGAAATATAAACTTGATCTGGAAAATGGAAAACGGAAAAAGAAGAGCAGGTAATAACTGATACATTGAAATATTACATTGCTATTAATTTTAGTAGATGTGTCTGTTTCTTTACAGTAATAATTCCATAAAGCTCAAAGTGCTTCAACCATCATCAATCTCTTCTTTCAGGTACATGTATTAAGAAGTAGCAAAAGTATTATTTAATTACTATATTATTTGTTAAGCAAATGAGGACAATTTTTGATTATTTGCAAATATCTTCTCACATATGTTTATCATTTAATATATTTCTTTTTTAATTACAGTAATATTATTAACTTTATATCAGCCGCGTAAAGCTTGCATAAATGCTAAGAGAAGCACGAGGCAAGCAGGCGCATGCGCCATAGGGGTATCGATGAAACCGCTGGCTACCGAGTTTGTCTTGGTTTTAACTTCGCCTAAATTACAATTTAGCCCCATAAAGCCAAACTTAACTCTCCATTAAAATGGTAAAGTCAAAAGTGCAATAAGTTCACATGACCTTCATATATGGTAGTTTTTCAAAAACCTAGCCACTGTTATCTATCACATTTTGAGATTTATTTTACCTTTTCTTTTAAAACTTTCAGCCATATTGATTTAAGTGATGATTGCGAGGACTCATTAGCAAGTGCTGGTGCCTCAGGCTCACCCCTTACCTTTTTTCAAGGGTATGTCAATTTTGTGTCAGTGTTTTTGTTATGAGAAATGGTTAAAGCGGGACTGTGACGAAAAATGACACTTTTTGAAGCAATCCTTTTGGTAATTTTTTGATAGAACCAATYTTGAACAACACTTCTACCGAGTTCGAAAGCAATCGGACTTTTGACGTTTGAGAAAACAAGGTTTTTATACTGTAAAATAGCCGATCCGCCATATTGCGACTGAATATCTGAGCCGCTTGACAGCGGTTGCATTTTTAAGAGTAGTGACGTCATCCAATTAACCCAGTAACAGTGAAAACACTAGAAAGCCTACATTTCGTTGCCATGTCGTCTACTGAAAGCGAATTTTCCTCGAGTTTTTCATCAGAATCATCTTATTCTTCGTATGAGAGTGCTATTGAGAATCTTTCCGATACTGAAACAAGTGAGCTAGTTACGTTAGAAAGCATCGAACCGCTTGCTACTGAAGAACAACACGCRGAATATCTAGAGCAAGTCGCCGCAGAAGAAGATCAAGAACGAGAGTTCAACAAAAGATTTACTGGCGAGGTTGCTGTCGAATCTTGGTAAGATAATGCGATCGTTTACTTGAATATTACTGTAATTGGTTAGTATGGAACGAGATACCATTGCAATCACATCGATTTTTGTGGTAAACATTGATGTYACACAACGAAGAACCTTTGTCACTAGTTTCACGTAAACTAGCAACTATATTGATCAGTGCTTCTATGTTGTTGCTTCTTTCAGGTGTAGTTGCTCTAATTGCTCTCTGGAACTTGTGAYAAAACCATCAGAATGTTTCTGTTGCATGGAAATGCCAAGGATCCAAGACAAAATGGAGGAACTGGAACTTGAGGACGAGTGTATTAGAAACCATCCAGGTTTTGAAAATGTTTGCCTAGACAAATGGGTTCTCGAGACGGCAGCGATAGGACTAAAGACACGACGGRACAAAAGCTATACAGTTATGTATCGAGAGAGAAAAAAATCAGAGTCACAGTAAGTAATCATTATGTAATCCATTTCGAATTTCCAATTTAGTACTGTATGCCAAAGTCCTATTTTAATTCTAGTGATATATATATTGTAGCTCCTTTGCAACTTTTACTTTGGCAAACACCTGTCTCTATGAATAAAGAAGATGCATGAAATCAATTGATGTGTAGCAAGAGATTGTATCTCAAGATAAGAAGAGTTGTAGCATGTATATAAACCAAACATTTACTTCTCTTTCAGGTTTCTCCGCTCTGTTGCTTACAGACAGATAGTCCGCTTTATTTGGAATTACATGGGTAACACCATGCGTATACCTTTGCCCTCATGCGTATACAATGCTATAAGGAATAAATTTCCAAGTGAAAATGGGAACTATAAGGGGTTCGAGGAAGAGGAAGAAGAAACAGAAGAGGGAAATGTAGAAGATGACTAAGAGATGAGTGAATAGGCAAGTGCTACGCACTTGGAGAGTGGTTTTCAGGGGAAATGTGAAATAATAGACACAAGTGCATAAAAAGACAATCCTTTCTATTTTTGATAGATGACTATTTTAACTACTAAACACTGACTTGTAGTATTGTTTTACAATCTGATGAAAACCACTCTATACAGTATAACAATATCAAATGTCCAATGTTTAGTAATATAAATATTTACTGTTTGAAACTGAACTGATTGTACCACTAGGAATTTGTCAACAATGCGGTTACTTTCTACATGATATAGGGATCATGCAATTATTCGTAATTTTCTACTAAATATTTTCATCTGATAAACATAAACAAATGTGGAAGCTCTGTCAAAAAATGAAAACCATATTTTACAATTGAAATATCTATTTTTTACAATAAAAGAAATGAGACTGGGTTGTCACAGACAGCTTGGCTCTTTGTACAGTTACATAATCAATTTTCTTTGGGTGGACACATTCTTATTCTGTTCACTATTTTATGTCCTTTTACTGGGCCTTCACATTTTTTGCAAATTGGTTGTCTTCGTCGCCTTGGGTTTTGTGTTTCAGCAGTTTGTGTTGCCTGCTGTAGCAGTCTTTGCAATTCTTCATCTACATTATCAGTGAGAACAACATTATATGACCAATAGATATAAGCATCGTATAATCATGGGGAATAAGAGCACATAATTGAAACACTATCCTTAGTGCATTTTATCCAGGGACAAATAAAATAGCATCTCATAAGATATAATGCTTTTACTCCGATGTTAGTTTTATTTGATTAGCTAAATATATAAATAAACTAACTTGAGCAAGTTGGAGGACAAATTTCTGTTTCTTGTTGTTTTCTTGCAAGGTACTTTTTAGTTGCATCTTCCTTTGATTCCTTGTCCAACATACTGTGRAATGGCTCAGGGGTAGATGCTTTTAATTCCTGAACCAATGTTTTRAGTTCTGCCCTTGGTGTTGTTGTCAATGTAGTATAAATCTCAGCAACGTAATCTGGACAATACAGGCACATGCATTTATTACGTAAAACCTACTGAATAGTACAGAATGTCAATAACCATGTTCCCTTGTTTGATTTGTTAGGGAATCAAGTATTAAATCTTAAGATACAGTACCAAAATTTTGAGGCACTCTAGTTTCCCTAACACTTGCTTCACCATACTTATACTTTGGATAGCACACTTTAAGTTTTGGCCTTCCCTTATCATCTACCTTCGACTCACGGCGGACATTCTTATTGAAATGCACAGCAGCTAGAATAGTTCTACAAAACATAAGATGTATATGATATTAAAATCACTGCACATGATAAATAAATTACATACAAAAATACAACTCTGTGCATGATAGTACATGTACAGTAGCTGATCAAAATATTTCAATTTAACTTGGTATTATTTACCTAGCAAGCATACCAAGGTATGAGAAGGACAGCATTTTCGGGGCAAACTGATTTATTACAGAGTGATAACCTTCTAGACAGCTGGTTTGTCCAACAGAAGATGCTTGCTTTATAGCTTTGACTAGTGAAACTTTGTTGAGGGCATCGTAAAGCTTACCATAGGCTTCTGATCCTGAGATAGTATTATTAGCATTATAGTATACAAASTCATGTCATTGATCGTTTTATTAATTGTTCAGTCTGAATTGTATAGTGTTCTTACCTTTCGTCATCCACTGTTTTGGCCTTGTTATGACTTCATRTTTACATTTGTTAAACAGTTGATTCGGCAGTCTGTTGTGCACATTTATTACATGAGACAAATAGGAGTGAAATTTGGCCACTTTTACATCGCCCAGGACACCTTGGGTAGAAATAACCGACMAATAAAAATGGCGAACGCAAGCCTTTCTCCATCTTCCTATGATTTCACATCCTGTTTCTTTACTCATTTTGATAAGAGTTTKCTGTATTTCTTCAAAATATAAGATATTACTATTAAACTTTCAGATTTCACTTTACATCCTAATTTGAAACAAATTATTCATCTTGAACATAMAGCTATTTCAAAAAACCTTGTCAGAGAGAAYGGCGAGCGGMGATTGTCGAAGCGAGATTGCACGACCGAAAGGKACTATGGTTGCAATGTTTTGATAAACAAAAATTCACTTATCGGATTTACCTTACATAGAAATGGAGACTATATGGAGCCAATCTCTACCCCAGACCATCTTACAGTACAAATCAGTTGTTATTGCCTTTCAACTAGCAAAATCCATGGCTACKTTTGGTCGTGCAATTGCTGTCCGGCAATTGACATTCRCCATTTTATCTGACAACCTTTTTTGAAATAGCTATACTTACTTTTGCCAATGTGCCAGAGATCAAAAAAGTGTTTTATGATGGGTTTTTGAAGCTCTTTACATCGCTGCGGTAAAACCTCACGCATCCACTTAGCTATAGATGCATGGCGATCTGATAMGAAAGTTGTGATTACCATTCCAGTGGTCAACAGAAATTCAAAGGCTCGCTGATGCCCCACAAACTCCATCGCAGAACTGCTTCCTGCATCATTGGCCTATAGAAGAAAAAMATCAATGCTTTTAAAGTTGTTCTACTTGTTTTCACTTCTTGGTCACATATTATGCAATTATACAGCTGCAGTTTCATTACCTGTACTAAAACAAGATGGATGATAAGCCCCACAGTACAACAGTAGATGCTGTAGGTCCCGAACTTAGCTGAATGCCCCATGCTGTCATGGCGACCATCTCCTGCTAATACAACTTCTTTGTTTTGTAGTGAATCCAGTATTTTCTTTTGCCATTCTCTCCAATACTTAACTATCGATGGAATTAACATGTTTCTTTGATGGTAATAGTAAGTTGCTTCATGGTAAACAAGGATGTTCATGTGTTGGAATACCAAAAGCACCTTCTTGATAGAAGCTCCAGCACAAAGCATAGCAAAACTGAGCAAGAGATTTCCTGCGGGGAACTTCATTAGCATTGGCTGACTTTTCCAATTGAATGTATGCTTGCATTTCTGGCACTGGCTGTTTATGTTTAACATGGTACCAACATGGGATACAGCCAACTTAGGACCAGGCGCAAAGCACTTATTACAAAACTGAAATAACAGCATGAGCTGAGATAAAAACACAATTCCTTTTGGTTCTTCCCTCAGGTCTTTTCCTCTAAAGTCCAACCTGTGGAAGCAGTAAATTTGATAGTTTTATAGTTCAAAAAATATTCAAAAAATAACAATGTATGGTTACTTTTTATCTCCTTCAATGTCATCATCCTTCAGTTGTTTATATAGCTCCTCTGAATCTTCCTCGTTCAAATTTAAAGTTTCTGTGCTTGTACTAGTTTCATCAGGGTTCCACGAAGGGTCTTCATAGTCGGTTTTATCATCATCATCATCTTCCATGGGATAGTCTGTCTGATCAATATCTATCTCAATCTGAGTTGTCTGCACTCCTACAAATCACAACCATGCCTTAATATTCAGTGGCTATTATAACAATCATTTAGTAATCTTGAAAAGAAATATGGGTCGTTAAATTTCCTAATACCTTTAGATATTTTGTTTAATTTAGGTGTCATATTTTGTATTTTTAAGTCTCTTTCTTGAAGTCTTTCTTGAAGTCTTTTAATTTTTGTCTGCAGGGTATTTGTTTTTTGTATTTGTCTTCTTTAGAATCGTCTTTTCGTCTCGTAGAWTCTCACACGACGCACAAGTATAGTCTGTGATTCCAACCTGAAATGCGAAAAAAGTGCAGGTTTGATCCAAATTACTTTCGTTCTAAATAGAATAACGCATGACCATGGGTACAAAATGAATACTTTAAACGTGTTGTGCTGCGGTGTTGTGCTATYTTGTGAGGTGTTCCATGCAAATGTCAGCTTGTAATACCTGCRACTCTTTGCTGACGGGAAATTCTGTTACGTTGACACGAGAAAGCGATGATGGCTCAGATTGTTCTCTCATAGTTACCTAAGAAGTTCATAAGTATTACTTGAAAATGTGAATATAATTCAGGGATAGCTTTTCGTTTAAAAGATTGTACCTGATACTCAAGCTCGTTGCCGCGAAATTCTGTCACATTGCCGCGAAATTCTGTCACATCGACATGAGGTTGGTAAGATGTTGATGACTCCTGCATTGGTTCACACATTGACTCCTAAGAAGTATACGAGTGTTACAAAAGCAAATTCATAGAGATTTAAAAGAAGAAGAAAAATTTTACAACAATTTCTTAGCTGCTACTTGAGACATTTCCATTTATTAGAGCGTACATAAACATGCCCGGCCCGGCACAGCACAGCACAGCACGGCCCGTGTAAAGTATAAAACTTATGAAATTTACCTACCTGAACATTAATAGGAGCATTTATATCTATTTGAGCATTCTCGCTTGTCCCATCTGTCCCATAATCAATATCCAATTCAGCTGTGCTAGTTTGAGAGTCAGGATTAGGCCCCTTCGAATAAAAAAAAAACATTTTGTAAGCTTTTGTAAAGCGTATGTTTAATTAGCATTAAAACCAAAACATTGCTATCTGTTTATACCTATTGACCAGAGCCATTGGGCTAAACTTCATCTGTGTTTACAGGAATGCAAAATATACAAACAAATGGCTTAGCTGCCTTTAAGCTTACATATCTCGACACATCCGGAGTTGACTGCTCCAACGCCTGAGACTCTCGTTGCGCTGTAGCTTTAGGTTGTTCGGTAGAAAGTATGGTCTTGATTGCCTACATGATATATTGCAACAATTTGAGTCACATTTGATAAACTTCTCGGTCGGAAAGCACAAGTTATATTATATAAAAAATCAACTCACCATACGGCGCTCTCTAGCAGTCGCGCTAACACTTGAAGATTGTTTGACTTTCCAGATCGTTGGAATTGACCCAGGAATAAGTCTCCGCATTGCTCCTTTCATGTGAAGGGTCCTAGTGAAGCAGGACTCGTGAAAATRCTTTGAACATACGACAAATCGTACATCGGGTGCTGGATTGAAATTCTTTCTATGAATCTGGACAAAGTTTTTCCACTTCGCGCGAAGGTTTCTGTTGTCTGCGGGCGAGTTATGCAGTGAAATGCCGTAATTTGGACAAGATTTGTTGTCACAATCTTGCACTACACATCGGCTTGAGGGCATTTTAGAATGACCGATACCTTGCTGACACTTATTTTGGATAAAACCTTGCTTTTTGTCTCGAGAACATCGACAATTCTCCACACAGCAAATCTCCCGCGTTTGACAAGTTGAAGTTGCTTGGATGACGTCACTACCCCTCTACCCACTCCCTCACGGACAAACTCGTACATTCTTCGTTAATTCAGAGTACCCGAAAAAGATTGACCAAAAAATAATACTTATCGTAGGAATTTTGAAAAATCGTTTGGCACAGTTGTTATTGGAAGTGTAAAGATTAAATTCAGAAAGTTTCAGCATGAACCAAAAATGTTCAATTTTTCGTCACAGTCCCGCTTTAAGTTAATTATCTTTCGATTTAGGAAATAGTCAGTTAATTAGGTAATATTTTTGATTACTTAGGGACGAAGTCATGGTCTACAAGACCACTTCAAGAAAGCAAAAACTAGCCAAGGCGCTTTTTATAGGGTCAGATGACACTGAAGGTAATCTGTAGTATTTTTGTATAGTTTATATTTCCCAAGCACAAACACAAAGAATAAAAAAAATCAGTGTTATAACCTCATTCTAATCTATTCATTTACAAATTATTGTCTTTTTAAAGGTATGTTTTCAGTGCTCCAGCTTCAAGCGAGCTACCTTGACAAGAATGATGAGTTGGAGTATCCACTACCAAAAAAAAACAGCAGAGGAATGCACAACACTGAATGAACTTTCTGTAAGTGGTTATATTTATGCCCAAAGAATTTTACAGCCTTTTGCACAAATTATGAGACATTTTTATATATATAAATATACCTAACCAAATATCAAAAACACCCAAGAAATTATGGGATACCGTCGCTGATATTTTGTCATGATTGCCTAGCATCAGGTTGTTACATTGCCCAGGTCGAAAAAGAAGACTTGGAGTACAATCATTTGATTGTCAATTTCTTAAAGAAGGTAAGGCCAGGGGAATTWGTCTTCCCAAAGAAGAAAGACACAGATGAAGTGGCACACCACTTCATACTAACTTGTAAACCAGAAGTGCACAACATTAATAATTCCTTTAAGGTGACAAATATTCAACAAATAGAAAATTCATATGATTATTTCCAATCAAAGTATATGACTAATTAATTAATTAAGTAAGGCATGTGGGTACATGTAAAATGCATCCATCAGGGTTCGTGCTACTCCTTAAACTCCTTGAAAAGTCCTGGAATTTGAAACTTGTTTTCAAGGGCGCTTGAAAAAAACTCCTTTTCAAAAAACATTTTACTGACTTATAGAGAGTTGAAAAAATTGAGCAATGAAAAAGTAATTGTTATTATATTTACCATTTTTAAATGATATAAATGATTAAAATCATATATTTATATTTTTTTCTTTTTTTTAATATACTTATCATTTTAATTTTATCTCAATCATATAGTATAAAATTTTTTTACGAAAAGATAACTGTAAATTTGTTATTGTTGACATCATTATCATTTATTTATCATATCCAGAAATGTATGAAATTGATATTTTTAATTAATTGCTGCGAGCGAGCGAAGCGAGCGAGCAGCAACACTATTCCAGATAATGTTCTATCGGACTACCTGTGTCACACGAAAATATTGCTGTTTCAATGTCAATTTTTTCGATTCTTCGAGTTTGAGATGTTTGATAGTTTGAGCCAGCATATTTGCTGATCAGCGTTAAAACTTTGAGCCAGCATGACAACAAAGTCAGCGTGTAACTTGAGACAGCAGTACAGTTATCAGCGGTA